AAGACCGCTTGTCTGAGAGTTGATGGTTCTGGTTTATGGTAAATCAGGTCACATCAGCCCAGCAAGATGAGACACTGAAAGGATCTCCTTGGGAAAGGAACGGTGGAGCATATTTAAGGTACCAATGTGGAAATCAGCAATTCCATTTAAAAAGATGACAAAATTACTCATTCTGAGCATCAGATACCAGGATATCGGTCGCTAAAGATCCAGTTGTAGTCCGTGAGGGATGGTTTTTCTAAATTCAAATTTCCCCGATTTCACGCATAAATATATCTCCGTCCACGCCACTGGCTAGAAATCGACAATCTATTGATCCGATTAGTGCATTTTATTCGCCCATAGAACGGTGTTTTCGTGATTGGAAATGTACTAGTAAAACTCATTCGCTAGGAGTTTCTCCTGTAACTTTGGAGATATTGGTTGCGCAAGTGGTAACAAAGTTGGTCGATTTGTCGGTCGATATATGCCATTTATAGTGCATTGGCTTGATGCGTTTAAGCGGTTTCTCCAGGTAAAACCGGCTTTCCACATGGGGATTTGAGAGTTAGCCGTCAGAAAATGCTTTTGGATAACAGGACCGAATAGAGTGATATGAAGTGAACGTATTTCAACATGGAATTTATAAGTTTCGTGTAAGCAAAACCCCAGCCATGCACAGTAATTTGAGTAATTTGGGCATAAAATTGTATGTATACTCTTGGAACTTCTGTGAGACAGCTCTCTTCCATAACCCTAGGTTAGCAGGGTATCTCAAAAGCTTGATCACCGTTGAACAAAAACAGCTTGGTCCTCAATAGATAACACGAAGGTACACTCCACTTTGTTGACCGCAGCCGGCCTGCCGATGTGTGTCTGACTAATCTTTAGCCCGTACAGCAGCTGCAGTGTAAACAAGTTGGACCACTGTGGTTGGACATCTGCTTTTCCAATTCAGCTTTAAACCATAAGGCTGTCTAGTTGTTGAACGGACAGTTGAAATACTGAAAGCTAAGAACCATGGTTTCGTGCATTGTGCCTACTTGGCCACATTTACGAGGAGTGCTAGGTGAAGATTACAGAGGAAGGGTGTTTTCAATTTGCAACCGTTTTACCGCTGGTTAGTGACGTTGGAACCCTCGGTACGTTTACAGTCGAACTGAAGAATAGGCTAACCACATCACTCCCGACGCAATTTATTGAATTTTGATTGGTTTACCATCTTATTATAATGCGCTATAAGTAATATCTATCCAATTTTGTGGTTATTTCCTCGTCTATACGTTTGATGGTTTGGATGGCTTACACAATAATGTCATCTGCTCACGCCTGATACGTCCGGTGTTCACTTTCCTGTTGGCCCGAATGCCTGTTCCTTGTGACCGAATCGATGTGCTTAGCTTCACTTACGACACCCATACCAAGATTCTGAGGTACTTCTGAAGTAAACTTTGCTTGCTCAAACTCAAGCAAACGATGATCAGCTGATTTATTCCGACAGTCTCGTGCGCAGTGAGGGTGTAACCATTGGCTAATGAATTTTTGAAGAGTTTAGTGTTTCATTATCCGTTTGCCATGCCACTATGGCTGCTGGCCATAGCCTTTACTCATAACGTTAGCAGTACGATAAGGGATTATCCGCATAAATGAATAGAATCTTAATAAAGTCGTTCAATTCCCGCGCAACAATGTAATTCCAAAAGTTCGGTTCGATCTTGTTGGATCGACTGATGTATGTGCAATGGGTGGTCACCTTATTTTGCCAGGGAGGAATACATGTTACATGAAAAAAAACTGTAAGGAGCTTTTTGGCAAAATCAGGCGTACACTTCTGAAAAATATTGTTGTTTCTTCTTTTGATGTCTTGCTTACGGTGCATGATACAGTGATGTTATCTGGACGAAAGTTTTCTTTGATCCACTCAGTGACCTTTATAAAGTGAAGTGTGCGCAATGCAGTGTACATATGTTGGTTGTTGATCAAGTGGCTGTTGGTCTGTTCGCCGAGCTTGACACTGATGATGTCTCCTCGACTGGGGACGAAACGCTTGCAAGCCTATTGCCAAGCTCAGCGAACAGATCAATAGCCACCTGATCAACAACCAATAAACTCGTTCGGGCTACTAATATTTTAGCACATTACCGATGTACATTTATCTTGACTTGTCCTCCATTTCTTCATGGAGATGGGATTTCATTTTCGTGAGAAAAGCTCTATGGACGATTCTCTTAGAAAGTTAAAAGTCCATTTTTGTTTTCAGCTTCATCGGTATGTGTTGCGTCGGAAAGTTTGAATAATGAAGACTGTTCATCAAGTGATCGTATAGAGTAATCCCCAGTGGGTTACCTCTGAGGAAAGAATTCACTACCTTGAAGAAGTTCAAATAGATTTACGGATCAGCCACAACTCAGTCAGAAAAAACAGACCACCCAGCCGAGGGGTTATACATTTCTTTAACATGAAATATGCTTTTCGTGGAATTGATGTGCTTGCATTCCTAGAAAACTGCTGAGCTAGTATCGTTAAGAATGAAGATTTTAACTTTTCTTAAGCTAGCATTTTTGACTGGTGAATGCGTAGGACACCAAACATTCGGTGGATACGTCGAAGTCTTCAGATGATTGCTACAAGTGTATTATTTGAAAACGTTTGGAAAATGGAATGCCTATTCAGTTGAACGTGCGTGGTATCTGATATTATACCACCCAAGGAGACAGCCAGCCCCGGATCACGCCATATGAAACATTTGGCAGAAGGATGGTGGATCTATATTTTGCTCAAATGCGATCTGTTCAGTAGTGATTAAGCCACCCATGGCCCACCTGTAGGGCATTCAGGTGCTAACTAGGAGGTCGTAGATTGGAGTCTCTCTAGTTGTTTGTAGGATAGGGTTGATTCCTAACAAGGATGAAACGGCTATACAGTGCTCCGTGGCATTTTGCCGTGGAATAACTTCACCTGAACGACGGGTTTTCACTTAAAACGTCATAGTTTTGCAGTGGACCACTAATTGCTGTGTACCGTTTCACTAGCCTGAATCGTTTGGTCCATTTTTATCGGCCAATTTGGTCCTGCCAACCATTTGCAGGACTAAATCAAATCGGCGCACTGCTGCTTAGAGCTTAGTCATACATTATTAAATTGTAGTGCGCACATCAGATGATTCGATCAATCATCACTTGACGTCATACAGTCCGACTACACTTTATTATTTAAGGTCATGAAGCCAGATAACAAAACTATATGGCACAAAACAGTGCAAGAAAGCTGCACCCCTGATTGTACGATCCGTCGTGAACGGTAAGCCAGTGAGTACAGATGTTTCAGAGAATCGCTATTCACATGTCAGTGGATGAATTCGTAGAACATTTTTGAGGCACTCAGGCTGCGTTGTCTCAAACTGGCAGTGGAGATCAGTAAGTCATCAAAGTATACAAGCTGGTTTAATACCGTTGCACACAAGATCACCGTATATGGTACCCATGTTTGACAACACAGCCCCTCTTGTTCAGTGTGACCTCAATTGGAAAGGTGCAGTTGGGCGTACTACAGGGCAGCGCACAATCACCTGGGTACAAAGCCCCCGACGAACATGTTTTGTTACGGTTTCAGGACCGTAAATAAAAAGTACAGATCCCCTGGATTCACAAGGTTTCAGAAGACCAACAATTAAGCCGACAAATAAATTAATCTACCAACAAACTTTTCGACTCACCCTGGAAACCTGCTGGACACGTTCGCACTTTTTCGACGACTAGTGTGCACTGACTACTGGCCATAATCGTTAGGGCAGTCAAACAAGCCAGAGAAGGATGTAAGACGAGATGAACTTTAGCAAAGAAGAGAAGGCCGAGTGCAAACAAATATAAATGATTACATTTCTGGTGAACCCACGGCACGGTAACACCATGAAGCAGCATGGGTCAGTTCGAAAAAGTACGCCGTTGTCATCTGTTCTTTTGTTTTTACAGTGAAAACCTTTGAGAATCTTTGGTTCTCCAGTTAGCCCCTGACCTGAATAATAGGGGATTTCTAAAGTCGATCGATATTAGACAAACTTTTGTATGGAGGGTTGCAAACTTTTAGCTTGTTTCTTTCAAGGGATATTTTTTTCCTTCACGTGTGGTTATTCTAGGCCTGTAAGATAAGAATCACTGTGCAGTTGTTCGGATCGTCCAACATCGTGCCTCTCACATACTTTTAGGGAGAATCGAACCCGGACCTTCCGGCTCGCAGTTGAAATCTATGGTGTTCGACAAGGAGTGGTTGAGCCGTGTGACCAGCTCCTTTTGAATAATTATGTTGTCGCAAGAAGTGCAACTACCTGCTGTGATTGAAACTTATTAGCGGAACCACTGTATACATCCCGGGGTCCGTGAAATCAAATCGAGCACAGACTCTAACGACACAAACTGACACCACCGTGGCTCACCACTCGTACTATGGTGTTAACCCCTGCTTCACTAGATTCATTGTGAAGCAAACATGAAGGCTAGCTCATTCAACCTGTCAGTAGGCTAGCGGATTTTGCTAGGAGTTGAACTTTTGTTTTCAAAAGCTAATTTTATTCGACTTGATCAAATAAGTTCCCAAAAACGCCCGAAGTCTAGAAACCTCCGGCACAATTTCCAGCCGGCGGATGGAAATTGATTATCCGTTTGGCAGGTACATCATTCAGGTGGTGACCATCCAGAGCTTGTGGAAGTCCAGCTCGGAGTTGCGTTTTACACGTCCCACGGTGTCCAGTCAACCGTTTGAACAGCTCATCTTGGGTTGCACACGACCATGAGCGTCCCAATAGCGATACCGTTGAAGTATACCAAACGACGTCCGGAGAATATATAATTGCTTGATTCTTCGGCACAGCAGAACAACGGTCTGGTCTATGTCATGCGTTGGACGGTTACTGTTAAATGCCGTTTTTATTTTTCAGAAACGCTAATCTTGAAATTGGCAAGCACAATTACCTCCCAGCACGGCATCTTCTATTTCATACATTCCGAGAGATCACATCGGATTCAATGTCCACGAAACTATTGGAAGATATCCAGGGAGCCAAGAATACTATTGATTTATTTTTGGATAATAAGCTTGAATTAGCCAAAAGCAGATTGAATGAGTAAGTTCACTTGGACAGCAGTGATTGAATTCCGGTCAATTGATACTTTCAGTGGAGGAAATGGGATGTATCAGGAGCTGGCTCATTCTACCATATTGTTTGTGCAAGCCGCCGCCACGATAGCTCCAGTAAGTCTCTTCTATTGATTATATTTAAAATTCCTTCTAGCAGTTTGTCGAGCACTTTATTTAAAATGCCGTGGAATCAATCACTTGGCAAATAATCTATTCATGTGTTTTGAGACCTTAACAATTCCTTCACTTTTACATTACGTTTGCTGTGGTAGACTACAAACAAATGGGAAAGTATAACTACTAATCGTCATCAGGAAATAGGAGTTGGTCAGATTGCGTCAGCTTTCTCTAGCTTTGCTTTCGGTCCGAGTGAGCATCGAGTTTATCTTTTACTGAATAGATAAATTGATCAGATGATATTTCTTACACTTCATTGAACATGATCACGTGCTAGGCAAAGCGTGCTGTGATATGTTCACTTGTTCTTGGGTATAAATCAAGTAGAACACAAGGTTGATGGAAACTCGGGGACTGCACCTAACTGATGAGCCTTAAGAAGGGCGAAACCGGTCGTTGGGCTGTCGAGAGTTTTCAGCAAGGTTGTGAGTAGTTTCCCTCATGAAAATAAATCGAACTAGTTGTTCACTGAAAGGCTATTCCTCGCTCTCATTAACTCGTTTGGGGAATGAGGGCAGCGCCGTCTCTCCGGACCTGTGTTTCAGTGGTTTTTGACTGAGGGCACAAACCACAATGAATTCAGTGTATTTCAGTGCATTTTTGGGGACGGCGAAAGCCCATTGATGTCAATAGTTTCCCCTCGCTTTTCTCTTTCTCCATTTGATAAGAAAGACGTGAATTTCCTAGAGAGTATCATCCGTAGCAGTTGCTTATGGAACTTGTCACCTTGTTTCCTGCTGAGGTTTGGTATAAAGTGTCATTTGGGCCATTTCGTTGTCAAAAGGTTTTCATCAGGGTTTCATTAGGTACAGCTTGTAACTGATAAATGGGAATTCACACTGGCCCTATATAGGGTATCTTTCAGTGACTCCGATGATGTGATAGGTGAATGACATTCGGAGCTGGAACCAGACAGGAACATGTGCTTGTTTCTCACACCATCTGTTTCTTCTTTTCTACCAAAAATCCAGTTAGGAAGAATGGTGATCAAACTAGGCAGCGTCTGGTTTGTGAACTCGTCGCTGACAAGCATTATCACGTGTGTGGTATGATGAGGTGATCTACATATACACCTGCCAAAAGACCTTGAATACTACGGATAGGATGGACACAGTGAATATGCATCATCGCAGATTTATGATGGAGATGGACGGTGCAGCTCCGGGAAAGGTTTGAGAGAGTGTATGCAAACACGTCTTTGTTTAGTGAACAATAACATTGCTCATGACAAGCTTAACAATTACAACATAACAAATATCATACCCATCATTATTGCTGTAGTTTCTAAATAATTAATCAGTACTGTTATAATCGTAAGGAACGTCGTATATTTTGAAAAGTCTTGACTTTGGAAATTAGTTTATACCTGATGAGGTTGTGCGCTTTATGAGAACTGGTCATGGGGCTTTAAGTGTCCACTGGAAATTACTATAAGGATAGCAAAATATTTAGTGTCCTGGCTGATAAAACGGAGATGGTCTTGTCAGTGTCCGACAAACCGGAATGCCTGACTGTGACATTATTGATCAAGATATAGAGGGTCAAGCTCCAAACGAGTTGATCTCCGTTTGTCGTGGCAACTTGAAAAATGCACAACGTGGTAGAGTGCATGCTCAACAGAATTGTCTACCAAAGATGCAAATTTCACGCAAGGTTTGCCAACTGAATTGGACACAGTGACATAGATGGGATGGTTTTGGTCTCGTGCATCAGTTCCCTTTACGGAGAGAAGCGTGGAGGATGGGGTGGGCCACCTGGCTCTTCAAACTATGCTGAGGTTCAGACGTCGTCTCCCATAATGAAATTAGATATGTTTAACCTACATCCTCACCACCGATTATGTTTTATACTGGACACTTCACCCTTCCTCTTCTCCCGATCCATAATATGGGCCTATAATCAATCTGTTTTAACGTGAATAGTTCCATCAAACGAACTTAGCCCACTGGTTTACCCACTGAGTTATACAATCCCTTCTTACGTGGGGTTGAGATGGCTCAAGTGGTTAGAGCACGAATTTAATGACCGAAAGGTCTATGGTTCGAACCCGACCTCTGCCTCCCGACTTCCCGTGCCTAGGCTTGGGCAGCCTGGCAGTATCCCAGCCCTCGTACTTCCTTCGCGTGGCATGGCAGCCAGGCACCCAAAGGATGTTACAGCTGAACGATTTGTGTCTCCTAATTTCATTTGTTGCACTAAGTAGAAGTCCTTTCTTGAAATTTCTTTCGAGCTCATGTACTGTTTTTGATCTAAGCATATTGAGTTTGGTCCAAACAAAGACTTCAATCCAAGCTGTAGAATAAACCATTTAGCCAGGTCAGTATAATGAGACATCTTATGGCTGGACACGAACTTGTGCAGCATAATGGTTCAGGACGTTGTGAACAGGCTGCCCCATCCTCATAGATTTCAAGGTTCACATTTGCAGTGGGTGGACCATCCGTTTGGAAAGTCGCAGTAAAAATTCATCAAGCACACTTCCTCCTCACAAAAGGAACTTTTGAAATGGCACTTGTGTCTGCCGTGTCTATGTTGGCAGATCTCTCTTGTAATCCAGCTTGAAACATTGTCCAAGGGCATCGCTGAGGCAGGAGTTGAAAAAGTACTAATTTACGAGTAATCGAGTTTGTTCGCGAGCCTTTATCCAATTTAGAAAACCAGATAAGGATAGAAGTAGTCAAACCAAACAAATCAGGATGTGATAGCTGACAATTGGTTTTCCAGTATTCACCGTGTGAAATGACAACAAGTGTGCTTTGTCCTGCACCCAAAAGGCGATCGGAAAGTTGAGAATGCACTCGTCATTGGCCATTGTCAGTTATGTCGTGCCGTTCATTACAAGGGAGTCTTAAGGAATCAATGAGTGAAAACTCTTGAGCTCAGAGAAAGTGATTCTGTCAGAACCGGACCAAATTTGGTCTCCATTAGAATATTGACAACACATTGATTTTATGACCCTGGCTGGTTTTCGTATTTCGCGCGTAAACGCGCTATATTTAAACAAACAAGGCCAAGATAACTCTTATATCTCACTGTGTCTTTGTTTTGGGGTGGACCACGAGATAAGCAGTGTCTGGTGCTCCAAAATGGCTTATTATTATGAGCAAGCGCGCCAGATAAACTACTTTCTAAAGACTGCGTAGTGAAAAGGTTTGTATGGAGATGTTGTGGGCAATGCGGAGTTCCACTAAAGATCGAATTGAAAGTTTGGTCATCAGATTTGGCTGCGTTGCTTTGGTGACGTTCACAATATCCTAACAAATAGCCCAATCGATTTTGGTCTCGAATATGATTATCAATGATCCGGTAGCACACCATGAAGATTTATTAAATGATGTTCGATTATAGGTAGTGTTTCAGTCGCGTGGTCCATCCTCAACATCTGTTGGACTGTTTGTGCACGAAATGAAGTTTACAAGATCTTGAATTTCTTTGAATCCTAACTTCTTACCAATATGCCCGAAGTAAGCAAATACGTTAAACGCGCAACATTATTCCAGAGTCAAGGCAAGATTTAGTACTGCACTTTTCATTCCACTCAAGAATGTCATGTATCTTACAAGCTAGACAGAAGTAGATAAACTAATAGATCTCCGCTTCCGCTCTTCCGTTCTCTTCATTCACCACCAGGGTTTTCAACCTTCATCATCTTGTTCACTTTATCCAGATCGATAAAAAATCGACACGATATTGGATTTGTATAAATGTCTTGATATTTTTACAAAATGAGTGCTCAGACAAGCAGCTGCCTGAAAAAGTGATATTGGTTTAGGTTGCCGGCGGGAACACGACATCATAGGCTGAGTTTCTTCTCGATGTTTCGAACACCGGAAGCGATGTCGTCCTTGGTGTCCGATTATTAAGTGCCCGGCGTAGGACACCAGCGGGGATCAGCGCTTTGAGTAAATTAAAGTATCTGGCCTTAGCACTGTGTTTCCTCCCTCGTAGTCACATTTTTACACGATTTACATGGGAAAATTTGTGTCCGTTCCCGTGGTATGGAAAACATGGAAGTCATTGGCGTTTGTACTGCGGGCTGTCAGTCCTGAACAGAAGTCCTTACCAGCAACCGTTTATAATTACAAGGGACAGTTGTAGAATGCGATGATTCCTGTAATGCATGCTCACCCATGGTCATGCATCTTGTGCAACAGAGTGGTAGAGGCTAAGCAAAGTTCTTCCGTCCAGATCTGACCAATTCTTGTGAAGCCATGGTCATTCAAAGCATTCTACATTTTCGCCGCTTTTGTTGGCAAAGGCAGCGTTTTACTACAAAATGATAGTTCCCAGGCTATGGAGGAATGCGGTTGGATGATTTGGGACGCAATCATGAATTTCACGCGCGATAACTTAATGGTTTGTGCTCCCTCGAGCAGGAAAAAGACAATGAAACATATTCTATGGTTGCCCGGAAGCTTTACAGTGCACAAGAAAGTATTCTAACCCAAACGTTGGAATCGACCAGTGAGTGGCACTCACTAGCCTGACCTACCATATGTGGTAGTGCAAACCATATGTAACTGGTAGGCTTTGCTGGGGCGAGAGCACGGTTAGGACGCAGTTCGTGATTAGGATCCTCATACGGAACCGCTAACACGCGGTGTTGATTCTACCAAAATCTGCATTTTTGTGCTTGTCTGTTATGTAAGTGTGACACCTACGTAGTTATGTTCTTTCGTACTCCCCACGTCAGAATGTACGAAGTTTTGGGAGGCTCAAAACGCGAGGGTCCACTTAATAGAGGGCGAAGTACCCAGTCAAATTGTCTCGCCACATTTGTTTGATTATTGAGAGCATTTGAGTTTGATTCGTCAACGGTTTGACACACAGTAGTCGAATCGAATATATGTGCGGTTGGTTCTTAGGAGCCGCACTTCGGTGTTTTCTGTGCGGACAACTACTCTGAATTAAGCATTTTACCGTTTCTACTTTTCGAA